AATAAATAAATAAATAAATAAATAAATAGAGACTCCCTCCTGGTCCCACATTTGTAAGTCCCTGAGGGGCCCGGACACCTGCGGACCTGAGGGGCTACCATAGGCCCAGGACCCCTTCATCCCTGAAATATCACCTTGAGGCTGGGATCCCTGGGTCCCCACAGCAACATGGTGTGGCCGGCGCCCTTGGATCCATAGACGTTTCAGTGGGCCAGGATCTCCTGGTCTCTGCAGTACTATAATGGGGTCTCTGAGGGGACGCGGAGAACTCCCTAGCCCTGCTTCCCGTCTTAGCGGCCCTCCCGTCGCCCCTACAGAAGTTTAGTACTCCCTGGAGGCGCTTCTTCACGTCCATGCCAGTCTACGCCATCATCGTGGCCAACTTCTGCCGCAGCTGGACGTTCTACCTGCTGCTTATCTCCCAGCCCGCCTACTTCGAAGAAGTGTTCGGCTTCGAGATCAGCAAGGTAGAGCCCACGAGGAGAGGAGGGCGGAGGGGGGGGAGGGGACGGAGGAGGGGGGAGGGGACGGAGGGGTGGGTCGGCAGGAAGGAACTGGCCGGGAGCCCAGGGCAGGGAGGAGCCGGTGGTGCGCCAACCGGGCAGAGACCCCGAGCCGGCAGCCCGGAGCCCCTGTCTCCCCTGTGCACCTGTTCCCGCAGGTAGGCCTGGTGTCCGCGCTGCCCCACCTGGTCATGACCATCATCGTGCCCATCGGCGGCCAGATCGCGGACTTCCTGCGGAGCCGCCGCATCATGTCCACCACCAACGTGCGCAAGTTGATGAACTGCGGGGGTGAGTGGGGCGGGGCCTGGGTCGGCTCTAGGACAGCCTGGGAGGAGCAGAGCGGGATTGGGCGGTGATGGGGCGTGGTTACAGGCGGAAACTGTCAAGCCTGCCCCACGTGTCTCTTTCTAAGCTAAGGGCCATTGCCAACAGGGCGCAGCTGGGGTGGGGCAGGCCAGGGTGAAAGGGACGGTCACACGGCAGTCCAAGGGGCCACCCCGTGGAAGGGCAGGGTGGGTGAGACTTCCCGGGTGGAGCAGAGGCGAGACCAAGTTGGGCCTGGGAGGACAAGGCCTGCACGAAGTTGGGTGTGGTAGGACATGAACTAGGTGATGAAGAGGGGCTATGAGTGGGGCACCTAGAAAGACAGGGTATAGGGGGCCTCTGTCTAATGAGTGGGATTTGCTATGCGTGGTGGCGCGCGCCTGTGGTCCCCTCTACTTGGGAGGCTGAGAAGGGAGGATCGCTTGGGTCCAAAAGTCCAAGGCTGCAGTGAGCTATGATGGCGCCATAGCGCTTCAGCCTGGGAGACAGAGACTTTGTTTCTAGAAAAATTAAAATTACAATTAAAAATTTAAAAACAGAGCCGGGCGCGGTGGCTCAAGCCTATAATCCCAGCACTTTGGGAGGCCGAGGTGGGTGGATCGCGAGGTCAGGAGTTCGAGACCATCCTGGCCAAAATGGTGAAACCCTGTCTCTACTAAAAATACAGAAATTAGCCCGGCGCGATGGTGCACACCTGTAATCCCAGCTGCTTGGGAGGCTGAGACAGGAGAATCGCTTGAACCCGGGAGGCAGAGGTTGCAGTGAGCAGAGATGGAGCCACTGCACTCCAGCCTGGCAACAGAGCAGGACTCCATCTCTAAAGAAAAAAAAAGGAATTTAAAAACAGGCAGGGCATGGTGGCTCACGGCTGTAATCCCAGCACTTTGGCAGGCTAAGCCAGTTGGATCACTTGAACTCAGGAGTTTGAGACCAGCCTGGGCAACATCATGAGACCTAGTCTCTTAAAAATAAAAATAAAATCTGCCGGGCGCGGTGGCTGCCTCACGCCTGTAATCCCAGTACTTTGGAAGGCCGAGGCGGACAGATCACTGGAGGTCAGGTTTTCAAGACCAGCCTGGCCAACATGGTGAAACCCCGTTTCTACTAAAAATACAAAAATTAGCCTGGCATGGTGGCACATGCCTGTAATCCCAGCTACTTGGGCTGGGCAGGAGGCCGAGACAGGAGAATCGCTTCATCCCGGGAGGCGGAGGTTTCAGTGAGCCTAGACAGCGCCACTGCACTCCAGCCTGCGTGACAAAGTGAAATTCCCTCTCAAAAGCAAACACAAAAACAAAAACAAACAAAAGACCTCATGAGTGGGGACTGAGGGAAAGCTGTGAAGGCGCACAGCAGGGATCCTGCGTGTTCGGGGCGTGGCCTAGTCAGGGGGTGGAGCTATGGGCGGGGCGCTGGAGCTGGTGGGCGTGGTCGGGGTTGGGCCTGGGAGAAGTAGTGGCCTGGTTAGGGCCGGCGCGGGTGGGGCGCAGGGCGCGAGGAGGCCTGGACCCGGCGTGGAGAGGGCCAGACTGGGGCAGACAGAGGCGGACTGGGGCTGGAGCAGGTCTGGACGGGCGGTGTGGGGCAGCCTGCGCCCCGCTCCGGCAGACACTCAGGAGACGCGGCCTTCCGCAGGCTTCGGCATGGAAGCCACGCTGCTGCTGGTGGTCGGCTACTCGCACTCCAAGGGCGTGGCCATCTCCTTCCTGGTCCTGGCCGTGGGCTTCAGCGGTTTCGCCATCTCTGGTGAGAACGGTGGATCCGCAGCTTGGGGGACTCTGGTCAGCCTTGTAGGGAACTTCCTGGCTCAGGAACGGGGCCTCTCAGCCTTGCAAAAAGTGGAACATGAGTGGCGGGGAGGGGGAGAAGGCTGAGGACTCCCCAGTGGGAATCTCTCGAGTGAGATTCCGGTGCGACGCCTTCCGACTTGTCTCCTCGCCAGGGTTCAATGTGAACCACCTGGACATTGCCCCGCGCTACGCCAGCATCCTCATGGGCATCTCCAACGGCGTGGGCACGTTGTCGGGCATGGTGTGCCCCATCATCGTGGGGGCCATGACTAAGCACAAGGTCGGTGCCGCAGTCCTGACTCACTCGCCCTCCAAGTGTGTGCTTGGTACCTTCCTGACCACGTGGTGGCGCCCCCTGGGGTGCCATCCCTGCCCTTGCAGCCTCTCTGGGTCTCTGCCTCCTTTCCTCTGGGCCTGCCCCTCTGTACCTGTTTCTCTCCGTCCTCCCATGTGACCTCAGCCCTGTTGTCCCCTGCAGACTCGGGAGGAGTGGCAGTACGTGTTCCTGATTGCCTCCCTGGTGCACTATGGAGGGGTCATCTTCTACGGGGTCTTTGCTTCTGGAGAGAAGCAGCCGTGGGCAGAGCCCGAGGAGTTGAGCGAGGAGAAGTGTGGCTTCGTTGGCCATGACCAGCTGGCTGGCAGTGACGACAGCGACATGGAGGATGAGGCTGAGCCCCCCGGGGCACCCCCGGCACCACCTCCGTCCTATGGGGCCACACACAGCACATTTCAGCCCCCCAGGCCCCCGCCCCCTGTCCGGGACTACTGACCATGTGCCTCACACTGAATGGCAGTTTCCAGGACCTCCACTCCACTCATCTCTGGCCTGAGTGACAGTGTCAAGGAACCCCGCTCCTCTCTCTCCTGTCTCAGGCCTCAGAAGCACTCTCCCTTGTTCCTAGTGCTGTCAAATCCTCTTTCTTTCCCGATTGCCTCTCAGGGGTAGTGAAGCTGAAGACTGACAGTTTCAAGGATACCCAAATTCCCCTAAAGGTTCCCTCTCCACCCGTTCTGCCTCAGTGGTTTCAAATCTCTCCTTTCAGGGCTTTATTTGAATGGACAGTTCAACCTCTTATTCTCCCTTGCGGTTTTGAGGCACACACTCCCTCCCGCCTTTCCTTTATCTCCAGGGGCTCTCAGACTAACACTTGAGATCACTCAGCTCCCCTCTCCTTTCAGAAAAATTCCAGGTTCTCCTCTAGAAGTGTCAAATCTCTCCCAACTCTGTTCTGCATCTTCCTGGTTGGTTTAACCAATCACCCGTCCCCGCCATTCCAGGGATTGATTCTCACCAGCGTTTCTGAGGGAAAATGGCGGTTTCAAGTCCCCCCTTCCCCTCCCACTTCTCCCTACCAGCAGATTCTGCGAAAGCACCAAATTTCCCAAGACCCTCTTCTCCCTAGCTTAGCATAACGTCTGGGAAAAGAACCAAAATGGCAATTTTAACAATATGCCTCTCTCCACCCCCATGCACTTTTTCTGACGTGGTTTTCAGGTCTAAATAGTGGCTGTTCTCGGCCATGAACGCAATGGTTTGAAGCCACCACCATTGAACGTCCCCACGGTGGTTTCATGACGACCCTCCCCCGATTCCTCGCACTTTATTCTCCTGGGTGGTTTCGAACTACCCTCAGTTTCTCAGTGGCCATTTGTTGTGTCCCTCAGGGGCTTAATGACTCAAAATCTGGGATCCTCCTCCTCTCAGACACCCCTCTTTCAGCTTAGAATTTGGGGAACATATATAGAAGTCACAGAATCCCATGAAAGGGAACGGGGCAGGGGAGAGGGGTTTTTCCCGGTGCAGGGTTGTGTCTTTGTGTCTCTGTCTCTGTGACTGTAAATCCTGCCCTGCCCCACTCACAATAAAAGCTTTGGTGTACAGACTCAGGTGTTCTTGGCTGTGTGGGGTCACAGGCATCCTGGTACCCAGCCGTCCTCCCTCAGACTGAGTTCAGGCCTCCAGCTCCTGCTCCTTCAGTTCCAGAGGTTCAGACCCCAGTCTCTCCTCCCTCAGATTCAGGGGTTCAGACCCCATCCTCTCCTCGCTCAGACCTAGGAGTCCAGGCCCCAGCCCCTCCTCCCTCAGACCCAGGAGTCCAGACCCCAGCCCCTCCTCCCTCAGACCTAGGAGTCCAGACCCCAGCCCCTACTCCCTCAGACCCAGTGCCCAGACCCCCAGCCCCTCCTCCCTCAGACCCAGGAGTCCAGACCCCCAGCCCTCCTCCCGCAGACCCTGGAATCCAGAACCCTAGCCCCTCCTCCCTCAGACCCAGGAGTCCAAACCCCAGCCCCTCCTCCCTAAGTTTCAGTATTCTCAGACTCCAGCCACCTCAAGCCCCAGGGCTCAGCCCAGCAGAGGGGTCTAGCTATGGGAACATGATATTTATTCGGTCTCAGACCTTGTTCTCTGACCACAACGCAAGCACCTTTGTATCTTAGACCCTCTATCCGGGAGGACTACTCTGTAACTAGGCACGCCGGGAGTAGGGTTTTCCCTCACTGTGGGGATGTGCAGGCCGGCAGGACTCGGTGGGGCTCACGCGAAGTTGTTGGGGAGTGTGGCAGGGGAAAGGGCCTCCAGGCGCTGCGGGCGGCCCCCGCGGGGCGGCGGGGGCAGCTTGGGTGGCAGCGGAGGTGTGGGTGGGGGCTGCTTGGTGGCAATGTGGGAAGGGACCCAGGCATCCGGCGCATAAAAGTAGAGGTCGTAGGGGTCTTTCGGGGCGTCCAAATGCAGAACTGTGGGAGCAAAGGGGTAAGGTCATCTCCAGGCTGACCCTCCAGGCCCCCTTCCTGGTCATCTCCAGGGGGCCTGTCCCCTTTTGTGCGGCTGACCAATCGGGAGGCCGGAGAGAGCATTCCAATTCTGCATTTGAACTGAGTTTTCAATCAAAAGGGTGGGGGTCGCTGCAGAAACCACGAGGCGTGGCGTCCGAGCTGCAGGGTGGGGCCTGCAGTGGAAGGCGGGGAGTGCAGGGCTCCTGGCGGCGCACCTGAAGGGGCAGGGGTGGGGACTGCGGGGACGGTGGGCCTGAAGCCATCTCCAACTGCATTGGGAGGGGGACTGGACATGTGTGTGAAATTGCAGACAGTTAGGGGGCTGGACGTGGCCATGGAGAAGTCAGGGTTTTCACTGACCTTGGGTGGGGGACCTGCGCTTTTTGGCTGGGCGCCCTAAAGTGCCGGAAGAGACCGGGTTTTGGAAACGTACAGGCATTCCAGGGACAGGGCGCTCACCCGGTTCATCTCCGTGGTCCGGAAGCCGGTGGTGTGCGAAGGGCCGGTGTCGAGCTGCCTGGCGGTAGAGACACCAGAGCAGCACAAAGATGCCGATCAGCAGCGCGGTCCCCGCGAAGAACAGGCAGAGGGCCCCGCCTGCTGCGCCACGTGGTCGCCCCACCAGAGTCACGCCTGGAGGGGGAAACCAGCAATCTAAGCTCCTAACCCCCTCCTCTTTTAGACCTAGGGGTCCAGGCTTCTAGCCCCTCCTCCCTCAGACCCATGAATCCCTGTTCCCAAACCTTTCTCCCTCAGACCCAGGAGTCCAGGCCCCCTGCCCCTCCTCCCTCGTACCCAGGAGTCCAGGCCCCCAGCCCCTCCTCCTTCAGACTCAGGAGTTCTCCCGCCCCTCACCGGTCTCCTTCACTCGCTCCACCACGATGATCGTGTTGACTCCCTCACCTCGGCTGTGCCTCTGGGGTGCCCGCAGAGTGGCAGGGGCCAACTGATTTGGGGCCCCTGGAAGAGCAGGGGGACCTGCAATCCGGGCTGAGGGAGGAGGGGCGCTGGACCCCTTAGGGCCAGAGTTCTGGGGAGCCTTCTGCTCAACCATTCCTGGAAAATCTGAAGTGGGCAGTTTCTGGGGGTCGGGCTGGATAGCTGCAGCGGTTTCTGGTTTGGGATTCAGGGACAGCTCATGTAGGGCAGTGGCTTCATCCTTGAAAGGTGCAGGTGTCTCTGGGTAAAGACTAGTGGAGATTTGAGGGTCGGAAGTCCTGGGGACATCTGTTGCATTTTGATAGTAGGTTTTGGGGAATTCTCTTTGGGAAATTTCAGTGGGGCTGGGATTGTGGGTCACATGGGATTCTGAGTGGAGGGTTTTAGAAGGGTCAGGATGGAGGGCCTGGAGAAATTCAGAGTTTGGGGTCTCAGTGGAGTTGAGGTCATGGTTTTCTGGGGATTTGGGGTCAGGGGTCTTGGTAGGGGCAGTGTTTGGGGTCTCAGGGATTTCTGCATACGAACTTTCAGTGGCAGTAAGTTGGGGACTCCCTGGGGATTCTTGGTGTATAGTTTGCATAATGGCAGTGTTTGGGGTCTCGGGAAATTCTGGGCCTGAAGTTTTGGAGGAGATAGGTTTTGGGGTCTCAAGGGATCCTGGGTGTGGAATTTCAGTTGGATCGGGTGTAGGGGTCTCAGAAGACTCTGGGTGTGTCATTTTAGAGAGATTAGTTTTTGGGATGTCCAGAGATTCTGTTATTGAGGTTGCGAGTGAGTCAGCTTTGGGGGTCTCAGGAGACTCTGGGTGTGGGGTTTCTTGGAGGTCAGGGCTGGGGGTCTCGCTGAAGTCAAGTGGGGAGGTTTCAAGGGAAACTATATGAGGTGGTTTGGAAGGCTCAGGGTAAGCAGTCCCAGGGAATTCTGGGTTAAGGCGATCTCGTGTGGAATTTTCAGAAGTGCGAGGGAAGGCCTCAGAGGGGTGGGCCACGTCTGGAAACCCAGAGCCTAAAGGAGGGGCTGAGGGAGCGGCCTTGGACCTCAGCCTGGCGAGGAGGAAGATGAGGAAAAGGATCCGGCTGAGTGATTCCATAGCTCTGGGAGATACCTACAGCTGCGGAGGGGAAGCGGGAAGGAAGGGGTTAAGGCCGAGGCTCCCGGAGCCCCGCCCACTCCGAGGCCACGCCCAAAACCCTGCAGGTGGACCGCGTCGGTCAGGGGCCCAGCTGGGCGCCAGGGATGTGAGAATAACCTAATCGCAAGTCCCTGCAGGCTGTGGGGCGGTGGCCGCGGTAGCCAAGGGAGACTGAGGCTTGGGGCTTCTTGGGAGTCGTAGTTAATTTCCTTATTTGTTTCACCGAGGGGTCCTGGAAAAAATTGGGAAAGAACGACACCTCTCCAGGTCTCCAGGTCTCCTCGACTTCGACTTTGAAGGGTGACAGGCCTTGGAGGGGACATGGAATCATCTTCCTGAGGGCTCCCGGGACACCTTGACTCAACAGTTGTTTACGCTACTGGAGGCTCCTAACGGCTGGGTGCTGGACTCTCGGATTTGAGGGAGGAGGGAGACGTTTGGACCACGGGCAAGAAAGTTGCTGGGGGTTCAGACTCCTGGGTCTCGCAGGGTGAGGGGGTTGAGGTTCCTAGCTCCTGATTCTTTAGGGAGGAGAAGGCTGGAAGTTCAGTTGCCTAGAATTTTGAGGGAGCAAGTTTTGAGGGCTGGATTACAGGGGTGAAAGGAGATAAGAGGCCTTGGACTCCTGGTTCCTGAGTTAGAAAGGAATTGGGAGCTCTGAGTCCTTTAGAAATAGGGTCTGTGGGTCTGGGCTCTGCAGAGTTGAAGAAGACAGCCGTGGGGCAGCACTCTCAAGTCTGTTGTTGAGGATGGAGCTAGGATTTCAGCATCTCTGGGGCTAGTCTGGGCAGAGATGCTTAGATCTGTGTTCAGGCGGAGGTGGAGGCAACAGACACCTCGATGGGACAGGCTTACTGGAGGTCCTGGGGTCTCTTACCTGCCCTGGTGTCCAAGGTAACAGCAGATGAGCAGAGCTGGATGCAGAGAACAGTGAATGTTGCAGAATGGCTCTGGGTGGGGCGGTGGAAGGCAGGGTCTCAGGGGCACACAGGTGATGCAACTGACCCCCTCCCAGGGGATCCTGGGAGCCTAGCAACACACTTAGACTCTTAAAGAGACAGAAGTAAAGGACATCATCTCTGGGGTGGGTATGGGAGTTAGAAACTGGGATGCTGTAGTGGAGATGTGGCCCATCAAACTGTGTTTTTGAAACCAGTGGTCCTGGCCCTCTACCCTCTCCTACCTGGAAACCTAGTGGTCTCGTTCCCTGGTACCCTCCTATTTCAAATCCCCTAAGTTTCATCCCCCAGCTCCCTCCTCCCAGATCCAGAAGTCCAGGCCTCTAGCTCCTTCCTTCCTCAGATCCAGGAATCCAAGTCCCCAGCTTTCTTCTTCCCCAGAACCTGGGACTCTGGGTCCCTGTCGCATCCACTCTTAGACTCAGGAGTCCAAGCATCTGCCACCACCCTCCTAGGAAATTAAGAGCCCAAGTTCCCATATCCCAAATAGCTGCTGCTCTGTAGGACTTCCAAGTTTTGCCCATCTCCTCCTCACTGTGTATAGAGGTCCCTCTTTTCTCTCTCTCTCTCTCTCTTTTTTTTTTTTTTTTTTGAGATGGAATCTTGCTCTGTCACCCAGGCTGGAGTGTAGTGGTGCCACCTCGGCTCACTGCAACTTCTGCCTCCTGGGTTCAAGCAATTCTAATGCCTCAACCTCCCGAGTAGCTGGAATTACAGGTGCCCACCACTGCATCTAGCATAATTTTTGTATTTTTGTAGAGATGGGGTTTCGCCATGTTGCCCAGGCTGGTCTCGAACTCCTGACCTCAAGTCATCTGCCCACCTCGGTCTTCGGAAAGTGCTGGGATTACAGGTGTGAGCCCCCGTGCCTGACTGAGGCTCCTCGTAAGAGTCAGTGTGAGGAAGACTGGGCTTTAATCTTTACAGCACCCCAAACTCCTCCCAGATAAGGGCTTAGACGCATCCTTAGGGCAGCTCAGGAGACCCTTCTCTTCCCCTCTTCACACTCTCTCGGGGCCTTTTCTGATGTTTGCCTGTCACTTTTCCTGTCCTCGAACCCCTGCCACACATATCCTTTGCCATCTCTTGCCTTTTCCTCCTCCCTGTCTCGCCCTCGATCTTTCTGGTTCTCTCCCTGCTGGATTTATCTCTGGGCAGCTCTGTCCAGCCTAGGATGTCCTTCCATTTCCGTCTGTCTTTCTGAGAGCCTTTTCTTTCATTCCTCCATCTCCATCTGACTGTTTGTTTCCGTCTCCTTCCCTCTCTGTTCTTGCTTTCTTCCTTTTTATTTCTTTTTGTGTCATTCCCTTTCTTACTCTCTATTTCCTCCTTGGCCACTCTGTCTTTGTCCTTCTCTTTGTGTCTCTGTTTCTCTGACGGTCCTTCCGCCAGTCTCTATTTTTATCCTTCTGACACACCCCCTGTGTCCACCTCTCTGTCTGTCTGTCTCTCCCCCTCCCTCGTCTCAGGTCCAGCTTCTGGTCCCAATTAGTTGGTGGCGGCCAAGGCAGCGGCAGGTCCCCCACCCCCGGCTCCTCATTACCGCTGGCGGCTCCTAATGAGCCTGGGGAGGGGTGACCCCGCGCCCCCGGCCCCCCGGCCTGCGTCACTGCTCGGCGCGGGGGCTGCGGAGGCGATATAAGGGGGCTGCCAGCGCCTCTGCCCGAGCCCACTGCGCAGTAGGGGGCCGTGCGTGAAGCTGAGGGTGGGTGCGTGGTGGGGCCCGGGGTTCTGGGCCGGCATGCCGCCCCACTGAGCCCCTTTCTGGTTCTTCACAGGTGATGGAGGCCCGCCAGGTGTCCACGAGCCCTCGGCGGCTGCTGCTGCTCCTGCTGCTGCTGGTGCCCTGGGGCGTCCGCACTGTCTCGGGAGTCGCCCTGCCCCCCGCAGGGGTCCTCAGGTAGGTGCCAGGCCCAGGACTCCCAGGGAAGGGTGGGGACTTGGAGAAGTGGGAAGAGAACCAAAGAGAAAGGCGGAGGAAGACCCAGAAAGGGGGACAGAAACCCAAAGAGAGGGCGACCAAGACCCAGCGAGAAAAAGAGACTAGGAGTGGGGGAACACCGGAGGGGGGTTTGGTGGTGGTAATGGTGCGGGAAATGGACAGGGAATCAGCAAGAGAAAGAGACACAGAAAGACAGATCCTGAGAAAGGCGTGGAGAGGCTCGAAAGGAGTAGATGCAGAAAGGGATTCATCTTTTGAGCAACCTTTATTGGCTTCTTGGTGCGCTCCTGGCCATGCGCGGAGCGCTGGGGGCGGACAGGTGCGTCAGACTGGCTCTCGGTACCCAGGGAGTTTCGAACCTGGTGAGTAGAGGGACAGAGACCCACACAGAGAACGAGAGAGACGGGGGGAGCCAGACCGAGCCACTCCACGGACGGGGCAGTAACAGGGCTTCGAGTTAGACCGCGGGGAGGACAGGCGGCGGCGAGCGCGGGTCTGGACGCGCGGTCGTCGCGTCTCTCCACAGCCTCCGTACCCCAGGACGGGCCTGGGTGGATCCCACCACCCCCCGGCCGCGGAGGAGCTTGGCGCTGGCGGACGACGCGGCCTTCCGGGAGCGCGCGCGGTTGCTGGCCGCCCTCGAGCGCCGCCACTGGCTGAACTCGTACATGCACAAGCTGCTGGTGCTGGACGCGCCCTGAGCGCGCCGCCGGTCCCCGCCTTAATAAAGACCCTGCCGTGCGCTCTGGACTACGACTCGTTCCTGTGCGACCTGCATGTGTGTTGGGTTGGGGGGCGGGGCGGGAAAGGGGGGATAGAAAAGAGACAGGACTCTGTGTCGGCCACTCTGGCATCTCTCCCTTCAGTCCCCACTCTATTATCTTTCCTCAATTCGGTTTCTCTGCCTCGGTCTTTCTCTGTCCAGGCAACTGGCATCTTTCCTATTTCTGGATATTTGCTTCACTACCGCCCCCCGCCCCCAGCTCTGTTGTCTCCTTTCACTCTGGGCCCCGGTCCCTCCCTACCCCCATCTCTGCCCCCTTTTCTCTGGTTCTCTGTAATCTCCAAGGTCTCTGCCCCCTCTGTCTCTGCCCCCTTATCTGGGTCTCTTTCCTCTCTGGGTGTGTGTCCTCGTCTCTTTGAGTCCTTGTAGGAATCTCCCCTAACGCCCTCTTAGCTTCCTAGTCTTCTGCCTCCTCTCTCTATTCTCTTTCTGCCTCTGAAACTCTTCCTTCCCTTCTCCATTACTTTCTTTTTTCCTTTTTCCTCTGCCCGACTCCTTCCTATCTTCCTTTTCCCCCCCCCCCTCCTTTGGGTTTCTGTCTCTCCACCGGTACTCATCTTTGAATTTCGCGGTTCCTCCCTCCCATCACTTCCACACTTCTCCCCAGGCACAGTGGAAAAAAGATTGCAGGGCTCTGCTGTGAGGCAGCCCTGACATCCAAACCCAGGGTCCTCCAAATCTAGCTGCGGCCTCGTATTGAGAACGTCTTCTTGACGTCAGTCTCTGTGCTTCCTGCTCTTCATCTGTTACGAGGATCCAATAAGATATACTTAATGAGAACAGCGCCCGTCACATAGCGAAACGCCTTTGTTTGAAAAGGGTTTCCTCCTCTCACAGCAGCCTCCAGCAATTTTCTCAGGGTTTTCTGACTTCAGGCGTCTTTCTCGGGAGACCACTGGGGCGCCAGGCTGGGGCAGGAGGAGAGGAGAGAGGAGCAGATGTCAGGCTCCAGAAAGGACAGAGGAAGAGCGGGGAGATACCTGGGCCGCAGGTGAAGCGAGAAAACAGCCAATCAAAATCTGCATCTCTCCCCGGAGTTTCAGTTTGCCCTTCAGCTCCGCCCCTCAATGGTAACCATGGCAACCCGGTGGTCCGCAGAGGGCTAGATCGCTGTGCCTGGGGCGCCGCTCGTGCGGACCGCGCTCTGATTGGTCTAAAGAGGGTGGAGCTTGGGGACGTCCGCCGCGCGGGAAGCTGGGCCGCCGCGTGTGGTTGGCAAGGTCTCCCAAAATTTGCATTTTCAGGAGGCGGACCGAGCCCTAATTGGTCCTTG